GAGACAGTGCGATTGGCACAGGACAGAGCAGAGTTTAGGGCTGTTGTACACAGGGTTGCTATAAGTCGCAAGCAACTCGACAACACATAACAACATTTTTTTATTATTAATTTCAATGAAAATTTCAGAGACTAGATTTCCATTCATTCATTGTTGCACTTTTCACCCTTCCCAACCCTCCCACCTAGTACACTACCCTATTGGAAAAGTAAAAGAAAAATTCTTTCATTGTTTTACAATCCCTCCCCCCAGGTCCACTCCACTATGCAGCTTTCACTCTGGACTCCTGTCATGACAAAAATACCTAATCTCATATCCCTTTTAAACAGTTTTCTCCCTCATCTGTTTCAGTGCAGTATACATTATTGAACCGATCTTTCTCAGTCTCCTCCCAAACCCTATTTTACAACAGTGGCATCATGCAGTATTTGTCCTTTTATGACTGAGATACTTCACTCAGCATAATATCCTCCAGGGTCACCCATTTTGAATAATGTTGCATAAGTTCCTTGTTTTTCAATGTAGTGTAGTATTCCATTGTGTGACTATACCACAGCTTCATTATCCATTCGTTTTTTGATAGGCACTTAGGTTGTTTCCAACTCCTTACTATTTTGAACAAAGCCGCGATAAACATTGGTGTGCATATATCTACATATGTCAGTTATGGTCTCTTTGGAGTATATTCCCAGTAGTGGTATTGCTGGGTCAAATGGTATCTCTATTTGCAACTTTCTGAGAAAGCGCTGTACTGCCTTCCACAGTGGTTGCACCATTTTACACTCCCACCAACAGTGAATAAGGGTTCCAGTTTCTCCACAACCTCGCCAGCATTTGTTGCTTGCTGTTCTGCTAAATTTTGCTATTCTGACTGGGGTGAGATTATATCTCATAGTTGTTTTGATTTGCATCTCTCTTAGAGCTAGGGATTTTGAACATTTCTTCATGTGCTTCTTAGCCATCTGAACGCCTTCTTTGGTGAAGTGTCTGGTCATATCCTGTGCCCATTATTCTATTATATTATTTACCTTTATCTTGTGGTGAGAATTTTTTTTAAACCCTCAACCTCATTGCCATGGAGTCATGATGGATTCAGAGCTGACCCTTCAGAGGATGTTCAGAGGCTATAAATTGCGTGGAGATAGATTGCTCATCTTTCTCCCTCTGAGCAGTTGGTAGATTTGAACCATGTACCTTTGGGTTGGCAAAATGACTCCCCATAGTAAAGACTGTGTTGTGTTTCTAAGTATGTTGGTGTTGTGATAACTGCTGTTAGACTGATCCAACAACCACCTGCCTGGGTGTTTTTGTTTTATTTTTA